ATTGGAGACAAAACAATTGCTATCAAACGACTTGTAGTTGATGATCAAGAAAATTCAAGATGGATTCAAGCATTTACAATCGGAGACAAATGAGCACTCGCGCCAAATCAATCGAAGATATTAGAACTAGATGTTTGAGTTCATTTGTAAAGGTAAAATACTTTAATCCTTAGCAATGACTCATTAGAAGTTCAAGTAACGATTTACTTCAAAAAAATTTGCACAAAATTTATTTTTCAAAAGTAAGAATTTCAATTTAATTTGTAAACCTACTAGCATCACTAAGAATTTCAATTTAATTTGTAAACCTACTAGCATCACTTACCTTGAAAAATTGAGTAAAAATGTCACTTATAAGCCTACATTATTTCAAACAATCAAACGAGAGAAGCCGAAGATTTCGATCCATCCGGACGTCCGGATGGTGAACCGGAAGTCCAGATCATCCGCAACGGTCAATTGTTCGACTGTTCTGACTTCTGACGAGCAATGGCTCAATCAAACGCCCGTAATAAAACTGGACGTCCGTATGATCGTTCGGTTCAACAGAGTTTTTGACTTTTTCAACTGCTATAAATACCAACTTACTTGTCATTCATTACAACATTGAAGAGCATTCAAGTGGGATATTTTTGAGCAAAATTATATTGATTTCTCATCTCATTTATTATCATCAAATCATTTTAGCTTTGAAAACTTTTTGAAAATCATTCTACGCATCAAAGTTTTTCATATCTAACACTTGAGCTTCATTCATGGCTATCTATTAAAGTGTTAACCTATTTCTCTCTTGGTTCTTAATTGTGATTATATCATTTAAGAGTGAAGTTTCATTTGCAAAACCAATTTTCTTGTTTGTAAGTCACCTGAGATCTTGGCAACGGAGGACGTAGATTATTGCTTTGGATCGAACCTCCATAATTATATCGTTTGCATCATCTATCTCTCTTCACTTATTGCTTTCATGTTCGTGCTTATTATTTGAATTAATCTATCTAGCTATTACGTGCTTGATTTCAGATTAATTTTCGAAAAAAATTAAAAACCAATTCACTCCCCTCTTGGTTAGCTATTCTTGGGCTATCAAGTTAAACAAAACAGGGTCAGATTTATGAAAGGGAATTACAATATGAAAAGAACACTCAATTATATTTATTCGGATCTTTGGAGACTACTGAGGGTGCCTTCTAAAGGAGGTACATATTATTTGTTAACAATAATTGATGATTTTTTAGAAGGTTTGGATTTTCTTCTTGAAACAAAAGAATGGTGTATTTAGCACCTTCAAGGAATAGAAGACATGATTGAGAAGCAGATTGGAAAGCGGGTAAAACGACTTCGTACAAATAATGGCTTGGAGTTTTATTCGAATGAATTCAATAATTTCTATAAGGCAAAAGGGATTCGGAGGTACTTAACAGTACGCCATACTCTGCAGCAAAATGGTGTGACAGAAAGAATGAATAAGAATTTGATGGAAAATGTCATGTGTATGCTTTCAAATTCAGGGTTGTCTAAGATATTTTTGACTGAAGCTGCTTCTATAGCTTATTTCATTATCAACCGTCCATCCTTAATTGCTGTTGAGAAAAGACTCTAGAAGATGCATGGTTAGGTAAACCTCCTATTTACTCAGATTTGAAAATATTTGGTTACCTAGCTTATGCATATGTTGATACTGGAAAGTTGGAACCAAAGTCTAGAAAGTGCATCTTTCTTGGTTATAAATCCAACGTTAAAGAATATAAGCTTTGGTATCAAGAAACTAGTAAAGTGGAGATTAGTAAAGATGTGGTGTTTAATGAACATGCTACGATTCAAAATTTACCTCAGAAGGATTCTAGTGTTACAACTTAGAAGGAATAAAGTACTCAAGGTGAGTTAGAAATCAGTTCGAGATCTAAACCAGAGTCTTCAGCTCAATCTAGTTCAAAAGTGAAGGAGAGTCCCGCTTTGCCACCACTACCAGCGGTACCGTAGTATTCTATTGCTAAAGATCGACCTAGAAGGGGGATTAGACCTCCACAGAAGTATAAAAGCCTGACTTGGTAGCATATTCATTAAATGTGGCTGAAAATATTAATTCCAGTAATGAGCCTGCAACATATAAAGAAATAGTTAATTGCAATGATTGTAGCAGATGGATCATTGCTATGTAGGAAGAGATGGAATCACTTCATAAGGCACGTGAAACTTAGTGAAATTGCCCAATGAGATAAAGGTTGTTCGTTGTAAGTGGGTGTTCAAAAGAAATGAGGGTACATCCAGAGTTGAAGATGTCAAATACAAGGCAAGATTAGTGGCTAAGAGTTATAGTCAGATTCTAGGTGTAAACTTAAAAAATATATTTTATCCAGTTGCAAAGCATAGCCCAATTAGACTTTTACTTAGTATTGTGGCTAAATATGATATGGAGTTTGAGCAATTGGATGTGAAATTAGCATTTTTTCATGGAGAACTTGAAGAGGACATTTATATGCAGCAGCCAAAGGGTTTCATAGTTACTCATTCGTGACTACTCATAACTTTAAAATAAGCAATTATGATAGTTATGTGTACTTTAGGAA